CTCAAACACCATGGCTATGTTCCCATACTCTAATCCATAACCCTCTGTCTTTGAACGCTCAAAGGTGAATCTGAATCCGATTTCGCATTGACCGTTTAATTTACCAAAAAAGAAAAAGTAGGAACCAGATGAACCACGATCTGTGCATGCTAATGGAAAGCACTGGGATGTTGCACAAAGTGTTCCTTAATCGTAGCTATTGTTTCCACCCCAACGCATATACGCTCGGGGAATCGTCACTGTTATTATCGAAGGTACCACGGCCCATCATAAATCTCCCGGGTTGCGGCCGAACACGTTTTAAAAATGGCTCCCTTTCGAGATTCGTCCGAGTGTAGATACATACATACATATACACAGGGCACTCACAGCGAGTTGCTGACTCACATGTACAAGCGCGGGGGACGCACGCACCGGGAACCATTGTTGGGTTGCCTGTTCTCGTGTCCGAGAAGGAGAGCCGTCTCGCCTTATCCGGCAAGGACGCCGATCACTGTGGTGCATTGGGCCTCGTAACGGGCCTTACACATGTACTTACCAGTGCTTAGAGGGTGAAGTTATGGGGACCAAACTACTCCGGGGACCGATTCCAAGTGGCTGCGAAGAGAAATTTGCAACTTCGTATCAGGTTGGAAACGTCTCTACAGGCTCGTCAAAATTCTTGCACTTCAAATTTGCCCTTAAAATTAACGATAATATTTAAGGTTATTGGATGGCAAAAAAAAAAAAGCCACCAGGAATGATGAAGAAAGTATTAATAGTGTTAGTATGGATACTTACAGTGCTGAGTAAAATATATCGGGCTTTTGTTAAAGCTTTTTATTGTTTTTTTCCTTTTTATGCAAGTTTCCTCCCGATTTACAACTTCTCGTAGATAAAATGATAACATAACATACTCAACGTTGCATATAATAATCGTAATAATCAATTATCATTATCTCCATGGCAATAATGATAATAATAATAATCATCGCAATGATAATAATAATTATCGTAATAATAATAAGAGCAATAGTTGCAATTGATGCAATAATAATATTAATATTGGTAATCATCGGTATTATTATTCGTCGTTACGGTGTAACTGCACACCAGTCTGGGGTTACGAAGCTTAGGCTTTTAAAAGTCAAAGGGGTAGCAACCCCTATCGAAACGTGAAATCTACGAGCAGTTTTTCACGCGCCCTCCAAAATGTCGTTGTGGCCTCCACTACTTTCTGTTTCCTTTGCAATGGACCGTTCGAACGTCCCTCCCGACGAGAGGGAAACAGCGTTTCGTCGAACAAAATTTTAAGAAAATTTTCGGAAACTTTTTGGACGGGTGATTAGTGAGAGTTTTACGATAGACACTTTCTGTTGAAAAAATAATTGTTCAAACAGTATATTTGCCTGAATCAAATGATTATAGATGCACGTTCGCTTCCATTAAATAAAAAAAAATGAAACGTTCCGAAAATAATTTAAAATTCATTTAATCGTTTTCACAATTACATAAAAAAATATCCACGCCTCGTTCGAACGACACAAGGGCCACAACGACATCCCCGATGACCGCCTAAAACACGCTCCGCTAAAAAATAATCTCGTCCCACGTTTTTTTTTTTCTTCGTGCACGTTTCGTTACAATCTCTACTGGAACATCTCGTCAACAAAATAAACTTTCTCATCTCTGCAGCTTCCTCGTCGGAAGTGTGCCTCTTTTACTCGTAATCGACGGGAGAATTAGTTCCGGTAGTGGGGCGTCGTCTAGAATCTCGAAGCAAAGATGGGCAAACTTGTCTAGATTAAAAGTTTCGAATGACCAATCAATAGTACAAAAATCTGTAATTTATTAGTCGTCGAGAAAACCCCGAGAGAATTTGAAATCTAAAATAATACTTCACTGTAAACTTAATAAATCAAGATGACTTTCTACTATTGAAAGTGACACGTGCCCATCTCTAATTCGTCGGTAAACGAAGACACCATGAAACTTGCAGGCTGAATTCAGGCCAGAGACGATTCTCTACCGAGCGGTTTATAAAAAATACATGTTCGACGGTTTGAGCTTGTTCGCGAGCCTGGCAAGCTTCATTCGCGCGTGTCGGGCCTCGTTTCGAAAGATTCTGCACGTGGGTAGCGTGGTAGAATTGAAGTCAATACTCCACTCGAGCTTGCTACTATGTGACATTCAATTAGTATCGACTTGAATCATAAACAATTTCCTTTTTCCTGTTTATTCGCGCTTCGAAATTTTGCAATTTACATTGATACGCCTTTGTAAAACTGAATATCCATGTATCCCTAATGAATATTATCTAGTACCATGTCGTTTGCTACCTGAGGAGTATGAACACTTTTTTTTTTTCTTGGCAGAGAAAACGTCTACCTGCCTTAAGTAAAATTTGTCCCTTTTTGTTTAATCTATACATCTATATTCAAAACTCCTTAACACACCGCAAGATTTCACCTAGGAGAAGGAGCATCAATATTATTAAATACGTCCTTTCGACATCTTGAAAATATAAATATTTCTGATCCCTCGGATTATGTGTATTATTCAGCTTTACAAAAACTTGTCCACGAAGTTTGTATTTCTATCGCTCTCCGTCTCCTTTGCTTATAAACATCCCTGCACACATACGATAATTAGAACGCCCCAACCGGACGTCATTTCCCGACAAGACACTTGATACAAAATGGCTCTACGCTCGCGTTTGGTATAAAAAACAGTGAAACATTGGAATGGCATTTCGTTCGACGTCACTATCTACAATTAATGCAGTCTGTTTTTTTTTTTTTCAGGGGTTAATTTGATTTCGTCTCACGGAGAGATCCTCCTCCTCTCCCCGACATTTTGAAAAGGACCCTGTGCGATCCTCGACATAATCCATCGTCTCCTCTCATTCCCTCGCTCAAGCGAACTCGCAACGTGTAAATAAATCGTCTTCAATAAATACAACCGATAGACTATATAAATAAATAATTTGCCGTGATCGAACGATCGAAACGTAGAAATTGGGTCCGTGCGGATCAGCGACCGTATAGTTGCAGACACGGGCAAAATTGTTATCCGACTAAAAGACTTCAGGAACAAAGAATTTTAATTATAGGATAATTGTATACTCGAGTCTGAAGACAGAGGCTCGTCCAAATGATTGCTTTAATTACCGTCAATTTTTCTCTCGTATTCAGATAAAATCTTGCCCATCCCTGGATCGCTGTCGCGTTTTCTCGTGGGGTAAAAGCATCGTTGCGAAAGATATCGCGATCCTAGCTCGTCGATCGCGGTTACTAAGCTAAAGAAATCGCGACCACGCGACGTTCCTTTTTCTCGTGCTGCGATTTCGACGGTCTGCGTGATCGATCATTGCTTTTTTTTTCTCTACTGAGATAGTTTAATGGCGAACGTTTTTACGTGCATTTCCTTCCATAACGTAATTCAAATAACATTTATGTACTACACTGTAATCTCAAAGTGTTTATACATTTCTTTAAACAAGCTAATTTCCTTTTCTTTCCAAATATATTTTACTCACCTTGTATTCTTGAAAGTAATCAATTCTTCGCGAATCTTCCTGTATCACTGCACACGGCATTCGCATCTTCAAAAAACCGTTCCAAAGATCGAAAGTCTAATTCGTAACGATCAACGATATCGTCACGATTGCCACCATGTATTACCGAGACCACTCCGTTTCGAACGACGGAAGAAAAAAAAAACGAGTGGAAGGAAAAGAGAACGGTTATCGATCACGCGGAACGAGAGTCGCAGTCACCGGAGATCAAGTATCGCGTGTCCACGGCGCAAGGTGTAATCTCTCGTCTCGGATCAATCGACGAGCTGTCAGCTCGGGTGCAATTAACTGACTGGAAGCAAATCGATTGGGAAGCCATTAACGCAAGACCCGCGTAGGCTAATTGCCCTCTTGAATTCCCTGGTAACCAATTGAAATCTCGCTACCTGTGCCCCCTCCCCCTCACCACTTCGGACGAGTTTCTGTTACGCGTCCCTACCCGTTTCGTATTCGTCCTCGTTTTTTTCTGTCACTTTGTAATCTCGTTTTTCCATCACACGAACCGTCACCTCTCGTTCAAGCACCATCTTTCCAAAGCACCACCCCGATTATACGTGACTCCTACGAGCCCGCTAACTGATTGACCCCGTACCGTTAAGGCCCGTTAAGTTTTCCCTCTAATCGGACGCCTTCGATCTACGATGACACAGAAGGCAGCCAGAGAGAAGCGGCGGCGGCGACATGCAGAACGGCCGGCACGGCGGTGTTTATCGGGCCACGGTTTCCGCCACACGCTTTATCGGCTGCCTACGCGACAACAGCCGAGTCGTTTAATTGCTTTGTTAGGCTCGAATTGCCTCATTGTTCGCGGGATCGGTTCTTCTCTACCCGCTTTCTGCGCCCGACCGGTGTCACGAGCGTTTGTCTGCGCACGTTGCCAATGGCGGACGAATCGGAACGTAGGACACAATATATTCAGTACCTTCGCGGTAATTTTGGACACTGTGCTCGTTTCCTTCGTTTCGTAATATTCTACTCGATGATAAGATATATGAGAAAGAACCGTTCACGCCCTGAATAAGAGATATCGATCGATCAGAGCTATTGGTGATACGATTGTAGGGATTAATATTTAATACCTCGAAGAATAGAATACTTGAAATGTCACCAAGGATAAAGATACAGTTCCGACCGAAATAGTTCAATCGAAAAATATTCGGACCTACCAACAGCAACGCGGAGACTGCTCGGTTTACACACCTCGAACCCGACCCAATCCCCGTAACCCATTCACCTTCACGCCCTTCCGCGTCATCGCGACCGTCACAGCGCAAGCCTGTGTATGTGTGTCCGTCCCTGTAAAACCGAGGGCACCCGCGACGGGGGGATCATTCGCATGAACACACCACATCAGTTTCACACACGCAAAGGATACCTGGGGCCCGAGGACCTCTCGCTGACCTCGACGACAACGGGGGACCTTCATCGAGACGTACTCGCCCTCTTCCTCGGGACCGAGGGTCTTCCTCACACGCTGTCGGACGCGACGGACATAGGCCTCTTGTAGACAGGCGCCGGTATCCTCGAGAAACCTCCCCTCTCCGAGGCGGGTTTCGGATCTTTCCTAGGACTGGCCGTCATCTGATTGTCCTGGGGCAGATCCACGGTCCCGTTACCATCGATCCACGCCTTGGTGAACTCCAAATTGGCAACACCGTCTCCGGCACCGTGACCCCGATAGTCCCTAAGCAGATCCTGCAGCTTCTGGACCACCTCCCGCTCGTCCTGCAGATGGCCGACCTTTTGCAGGATCTGCTCGAGAAGAGGATTGGCCACCTTCGTGGGGGAGGATTGAAGGGAACCAGTAGTCGACGATTTGATCCTTCTTCCGTTTCTGTCGTACTGAACCCCGTTCGAATTCTGTCTGGGCAGGCTCTGTCTCGCGGGGCTTTTCCTCGAGAAACTCGGCGTTGTCGCGCAGGTTGCCGTTCCCTGGGGGTTCGAGAAGGTGTCCGCTTGTATGCTAGGCCTTTGTCTAACCTGTCTGCCGTTCCACGTGTTACTACCGCTGATCGGGGATTGACAGGACTTGGGAACAGCGGATGCTTTACTCAGGCTGCCAGTGGGTGGCTTTCGAAGGCTGTTCATGACGGTTCCCCTTTTCAGGGGGCTACCTTCTGGGCTCGAATTACTTTCTCTAGGTGTCCTGCTACCTGACGAGGCTCTAGACACGTTGCTGTTTTCGCGGACGATGGAACCTGCACGTGGGGTCCTGTCGCCAGACGAAGAGGCCACGCTTCTGGATGGAGAGGCTCGAAGGGGACTCGCGGGACCTATTCGGGTCTTCCTTAGGCCAGTCTCGATGCTTTCGGTTTCTACGCAGGACCTCTCTTCTTGCTCGGGCTTTGTGGGTTGCTCTGAAACAGGAAACGATCGTGGGCGTGGTCACGTTGTTTAGGAGTAATTATCGACGCGTGCTTTTATGGCCGTGGGACAAATCCTTTGAAGCAGCGTCGTTGCAATAACACCGAGACCTTCAACGATTGACATCCTGGAAAATACTTCGCGCCAATATCGCGCTTCCTAACGTGGACAATCATTATTCCTACCTGACAGCCAATTAATTCGTTTCCGTTGCGTAATCAGGGTTATACAACGATTTGTTCGGATACTTTCTGCGCGCAAAACGATAATATTATAGTGTCGAGAGTCGTCTTTATCTAGTCGATGTTTATTCAGGCCGATCTCGCGATTTAGGATCCGAAAGATCACTGGCCGATTCGGTCTCGGAACCACCTCCCGATTTAGCAAACTGCGTGGGCAAGGTGAAGAAACGGAACGAGTCGAGATAATCGTGCCTGGCTGTTTTTTTTTATTGCGTTTTCGATACATGGAATGACGCACCTGCGACATTTCACGGCAGTCCATGTTAATTGACACCGTACGATGGTCTTCGATTGAGTTCAATGTGGCTGTTTGTTAAACCATTTACCTCCTGACTCCTCTACCGAGCGAAAAAAAAGGCCTTTAAACCGAGACAATTATCGATAAATGGAATTATTTCGATTTAAAGAAAATCATCAAGATTGCGTCAACTCTTGGCTTCCTAAAAACAGAGACAACCAAATAACACAGAGAACGATTACATTGTGACTCCATTGGCCGTAAAAAAGCGGAATACTGGCGCGGTTCGGCCAATTACGCGGAAAGAGATGCATTTTAAATCACCAGAACCAGTCCAACGGAATCGCGTGGCGCATCTCAATGCAGAAACGGGTGTACCTTGCCAAAATCGATTTCCATGTATGTATCACGCTCGATTTCCCGTGCAAAAATGTCTCGATAAAAGTTGAACAACAACTAGACTGCCTAGAAATTTATCACCTCGAGCGAGCGATAAATGTATTTTATAGTATCGCGATACGAAGTTATTGCCGATAAGTGAGTCAAGTACTTCGAGTATCTCTATCTATGTTTTCCAAACAAGCTCGGTGCATTAGACTTTCGATTGGACTCTTCAACTTTCACGATGTCTAAAATGCAATTTCAATCTTCCATTCTAGTCTGCTATTCACAAATTGAATCAAAAAATCTCAAGAGTTCTAGCGTGAAAATCTGATTCTCTTTGATCCTCGTGTACTTCTGGATTCCAAACGAAAACGAAACCGATTTCACAGAGGTACTCCGTCGACGGGAGCAAAGTCGGTAGCGTATCGAGACTACGCATAACACCCAAAGGTTAACCGGACCTCGGTGTCGTCGGGAATCATCGCGGGTGCCGATTGCCCAACGTTTTGGACCACCCTGTAGCTCATTAATATTCAAAGTACACGAACACGCATGTACACGCATATACACAGGCTTGCCTGACATTTAGCCGGGCTCCGACAGATTATACAGTCCGGCGTATAGATCTCTGTGTGTGTGTGTTAAAGAGCGTAGGCGATCCTCCAATAACAACCTGTCCACGGAACAATCGCCAGCGGTCGATCCTCGATAACGCCTGCATCGGATACGCTGACCGCTTCACTTACTTGACGCACTTGACGCGTGGCGGCGATCTTTCACGCATCGAGAGGGGCTTCTTCGGATAGTACGACACAATGTTTACACGCTTTCTAGTCCATCTCTGTGCTGTTTTTTTTTTTTTTCATGGAGATCATCGTAACAGTGATAACAATACCGCCTTTACATTGCACACGGTTGAATCAAACAACAGCGATAATGATAACAATACGAGAAGAAGATTGCATTAGCCGGTTAAACACACACACGAGCTCGTTCCACATGCCGTCAAGTACGAAACAGTTGAAAGGAGGGTACAGTATCGCTGGTATCCATCGGGTTAAGACGCGAATTAAATCCCCGTTGTCAGATTCGAGATAGACGGGCGAAGATAAACACACTCGGCCCAAGGTATTAAGATCTGAATTCGCTTCTTTTTCGTCATTTCTGGCGGAGGGACCGATAGAATCGTGGCAGATGAATCAGACCCTCCTTCCCTTCTGGTTGTTCTTCGCCCCCTCACCCACCGACGAAAAATCAACTTCAAAGTGAAACGTTACCGCGACGCATCAACCGACGAGAGTGCTTCACGAGACGCGGGGACTCTTCGATCGTGTTGGAAAGCGAACAAGAAAAAAAAGCTGAAGGAGGGGACAGCAGATCGAATCCATCGGGTCCCGGGAGAGTTGAAACAGAAGAGGAACTACACAATAGTGGCGTTTGTTCGACCCGATGGTGCCACCCCTTGCGTCGCGGTTCGTATTAAATTCAATGACTGGCTTTGATCGGAAAGCCCCGTGTACAACGCGTTTTCTCCGCAGCGGGACGCGATTATCGCGATCCACGCGCGATTTCACTGCTCGTTCGATTAACATGCATCCTTCTGCGTGGCTGTTGCGAAACCATTGCGAGTCCCTGGAATCGATCTCGTTCGAGAAATAACCGACCGAGACTCGATCGTTCGTTCGTCAATTGCCCGTGTGTGTGAGTGTTACACACGAGGTTCCACGTTTTGAAACTCCCTGTACAATACGTATAAATTCTTTATGGCTTTTGGCGAAATCATTCAACAGTTACATCATCGAATATATAGAGAGAGGACGAAATTCAGGATCGCCATCGAAAAAGTCGCTACGTAAGCTTGACGAACATTCGTAACCACCGCGTGGGCGGCTCGAAATTAGAAAAGAAGCTAGTTTTTTTCGTAGATACTTAATGTCATCGGTTAAACGATCGTCTACTGTAACTATACAGCACCGAAATTCTTGATCTTCTCGCGACGCCCACGCTCGTCGAGGGGAACGGAATTTGCTTCCTAATATGTGGTCGATGAAATTCGGCACGGGACAAGAGAAAACGAAAGTCTCGAATCGAACCGGTTGAAATTTTCAATAATATCTTATCTGTACCTTCGTTTCTGAACAAGTGTCATTACGCAGAGTGCCGCTAGTAACCAGAAACATAACACCAGAAGAATTCCAAAACTTGATCTCTCGCGACCAGAGACGAAATCTCATGTTTAATCGAAGGTACCCTTGGTAATCGACCGATCCAGGCCATCGATACCCGCATCAATGAAAAAAAAAAATTACACCACGTCTCAGCCAATATTACACTGACGGTTACAACGGGCCCACGCGACCCGTTGATAACCCATAAATCAACAGCCGTAAAGGCACGACGAAACGAACGAGATCGGCCCTCAGGGGGGAAAAGGGTGAAGAAACACAGAGAAACGAGATAAAAGTGGGAACTCACTTTGACAATCGGCAACCGTGGGCGATCCCTGCGTACATGTACCCGGGTTCCCGTTGCTGGTGGGTGGCTGAACGGCACCCAAACTTCGATAACCCTCGTCGGAGACCTCGCTGCAATTGTCCGAGTGCTCGCCGTCACCGTGGGGCGATTTCGTGTAATTCACGTTCACGGTGACGACGTCCTTCCCGAAGCTCTCCAGCACTGGTTCCTCCTTGATCGCCGGCGGACTAGGCGTCGGGCTACGGCTGTTGGAATCCTCGCGACACTTGTAATTATAGATCGTCGGCTCGTACTTCGGCGTGTCGTCTTTCTCGACCGCCCTCCGAGCTACACCGCCGTCCACGACGTAACGCTTCGTGAACTCCTCGGTTACCGGCACCTTCGTCCGGATCTCTTGATGGAGGTCCTTCTTTGCATCCTGCGCAAACGATTTTTGGAGCTATAAGTACTCCACAGGTGCATACAGCAAAACATCGATGAGTGTTCGAAGGCTTCTCGACACTGAGTCTACGCCTAATATTTCACATTACTATCACATACTATCATCTTACAAAACCCCGTTAAAATCGAAGTCGGACAGTTGAGGTCTTTCCCTTGTCAGTGCCTAGGAGCCTTCGAACACTCATCGATGATTTACTGTACCCACAAGTAGAGACCTATCCGCGGAATAGATTGGCAGTTTCGACCTGGACTTCGTTTATTAGACTAGGAGATCCTACTTTAAAAGTTAGACCCTATCTGCTATCTTCGATCATGCACACCATTCCCAAAAACTTGCTCTTCACTGACCTTACTGTCTTGATGCTTCGTGTGATGCGTAGGCGATCGAGCATCCTCGTTGAAGCATCTTTTGGGAGAGTCTGCGCATCCAGTCTTCGCGTGTTCCGGTTTGGTCGTCGGGCTGCTCGATCGGAACTGTGGTTTCGGGGTCGGTGATCTCGATCGTTGTTTCCCGAAATCCTGATGGCTGGGACTGCCGAGAAACTTCCTCTGGGGCGTGGGACTTCGCGATCGGTTGATCTTCTTCTGTTGCTCGTCCTGTTGTTGCTTACCGGCGGGCTGATTGGGCGTGGGCGATCGCGAACGATTGCTGGACACGCTCCTGGCCGCGGCGTGCAGCTGCGTCGATTGCTGATTCTGCACGGTGCCGGCGCAAGAACCGACGCTCGACGCCGAACTCCTTCGAGTTCTAGGAGGTGATCTGCGGATGAGCAACCGTTTTCACGTTTCGCGCAAAGGGCCGGCAAGCTTGCCGACTACAGGGACCTTGTGTTCCATCTCCGTTATCGATTTTTCTCTCATATTTCGAACTTTAACTAATATTTCAGTTAACGTAGGGAGGTGGTACTGGATTTTCAATCGGAATTCTTTGTAGCCAATCGAGACTAAAGATTGTCGTTGGCCCTTTCGTAGACATTTTGCCTGCCCTTCTCTTTCCGTGTTAATTGTACAATTAGTCTCGTGTTATTTCTTCTTACTTGTAATGTTAAGCTGGGAAGCATTAGTCGTAGCAGGATTTGGAGAAATAATGGTTACATTGAATAAAGTAAATCTGTTGGGACACTGCGTTCAGTATTCTGCATCGATAGACCGATCGTATCTTGTATATACCGACTTCCACGTTCGCGTTTATTCCCCGACTAGTTTCCAGAGTCGACCCGCGAGCATCTACTAACTAAACATTCTCGACTCGCATCAGTGAATACCAAACACGTCTCGCTCATCAACACCCCGTATAATTTCCCGAAGCTCGGACAGCATTTTATCCCTAGGCGAGGCGGGGAAAAATCTCCCGGGAACGAACAACTGTCGACAGATAAATGACACCTTAGAAGCAGAAAATTACTCACCTTTCGTAATGCACCTGCGCGCTGCCAAGGTCGAAGGACCCTCCAGCCTTTTGAATCAACTTCGCTGAGATCATCGAGCGATGCGCTGCGATGTAACGGGAAAAAAAACGAAATAGAATGAAATAAAATAATGAATATACGCATACGTACACACACGCAACGATTTCACAATCGGTTCGGGACTGTTTTTCATTCCCGCGTTAACTCGAACGGAGAAACCGATGATTGAGTGCTAATTGAAATGTCGTATTCGCGTAACGAGGCGGTTTTGCAAAACGGTAGGCAAACTACTTGTGACCACGAAAAAATTGTGTTTGGAGAACTTAAAGTGGATGGTAGCGCCGTGTGCAAACGTGATATTCGTAAAAGTGCCATTTATAAAGATACGATTGGCAAAAAGAGAATTTATAGAAGGACCGCCGACAAAGTGGAATCGGTAAATTTATAAATGCAAAACAAGCAACATTTTCGAGTGTGCCATTTTGGGAAGTATACTCTCCAAAGAAGGAGGAAGACAACTTACAAGTTCTGCATCGACAAGGGTCATGCTTGTCGAGGTAATGGCTCAATGTGTCCCAACCGCCGCCGACGCGCACCATCACGTGGCTCCGCAGGATCCTCACGAAGATCAGCACCTTTGTGTCGCCGATTCTGTACTTGCCTTCCGAGACACGAATCATGGGGAACTGTGTCGGGCACGTGCACCTTTCGACCAAGTCGCGAACCTGCAACAGGAATCAAAAGAAACGGTACCTTTAATAAAAAAAAATCAAAAAAGATCCTGTCCGTTTCAATCGTGGTCGATTTTTACGTGTCCCACGAGAAAGAGAGAGAACCGTAGTTTCGCCATGAGTGACAGAATTCAATCTGTTTCAGTTGTTAGGACGCATTGTGCCGTTAATTAAAGCGGCGATCGGGCCGAACGACGACGACGCAGTTTGTACCGATACACGATTTTTCTAAACCGTTGACAACGCCAGGGCCCGGCTGACCCGTATTTGTTGAACAGGATTTATGGAGCTTGTAACGTGCGGTTCGTATTGATTAGAAAGGCTTGCGCCGATGTGTATACGCGGTTGCATGTCGTTCCGTACGAAATGTCAAGGAAGCTATCACCAGCGCTGCCTCCCCGCGGTGACAAACGCAGTCGTCGAAACGAACGGACGTTTTGCCGAAGAAGGATGATCCTTCCTGTTTGTCTGTTATTCGATGTATCGATCATGTTGAATTTTCCCTGACTAACGAGAGAAGATCCTGGACCGGCGATTTCTGATTGGAATCGACACGTGTGTTGTCTGTATTCATTTTTCAAAGACACGATGCAGCTAAGAGATATTCGAATGATTTCAAAGGAATGAGAGACGCCTGTGGGAAAACTTGTCTCTCCGCGTGACAGGAGAGAAATTCTTGCGGAATTTTCGATCGTTCGAAGGATCGCGAAACCCACGGTTGTTAATTAGCCTCCGGACGGAATCAGGCCGGCTGATATTTCACGTTTCCTTACGACACGTCGGGGACAGATTTAGATTCTAATCGGGCCCCGAGATATTAAGAGATAGGATAGATTAAAAATGATCTCGATCGATAGCGCTCGACATCTGTTCGAAAGAACACATTTCTTGATAGAACGAGGTTAATCCATATCGACACCGGAATAGTTTGCATAAAATATTAAAGTCGCTTTGTGACACTCTTTAATTAAAGACTCGCTGACAACAAAAATAATTCTGTTGATTATACCGTTCAATGTTTCTGTACCAAGATAAATCTGTGCAAATTGATAGAATTAACGTTGTAAATCGTGAAATTATCGGTCGTTCGAAATGGAAAACGATTTATACCAGGGAAAATAAAGCAACGGGAACAGGAGTTTCCGCCGGGGATTGCGCTTTAACATGGTTCGCCTTTGGATATAGTTCCGCGTTTTTGCCGCTTTTCAACGCGAAGTGAAAGCAGAACTGCGCCCCGACTGTCCGTCCGTCAAACAGTTGTAGGCCCGACGCGATTTTTCCCCATATTATTAAATCGACTGTTAATTTCATTGTGCACGTCACGGTGCCTCGCTTAGACTTCCTTTCAGCAATCAAGTGCGGCAACCGAACGATTTTTACGGAGTAGACAGGGTACATACGCGATTCGATGAAGAGATACTAAAACAAAACGCTAGTCGTGGTCTTTCGAAAGTGCTCGGACTCGTTTCTTTTGACAGTCAACGTTTCATTATATTAATACTTTCCTGTCGCAAGCTGTCACAATCTCTTCCTTACAATTTCCTATTCATTCGTGTGATGACAATTGAGTCACATGATATAATCTTGATTAATTCAGTTACCTAAATTCCTCGTATGTAATAAATTATAGTAAACTTCTCCCAGAAAGTGCCACGTTGTTAAATAAACGTTTCAATAAAGAATCGACAATTTCTTCCGCCTCGCAACAGCGGTATCTTAATAAATGATTTTATCATCGTTACCCGGCAGTGAAAGCATCCAAGTAAAGGGCACGTAAATACGCGTGTACAGGTAAACGATTTAACACGGCGATAATGATCGATCGATTGTCGACGTGGATTTCTTCCATCATCGAAAAAATCCATTAATCCCCGGATCCTAGAGACCCTCCTCCTCCACCGAGACACCTTTTAGACGATCACAGATAGTTCAAATGTTCGATCAAGTTCGATCGATCAGAACGCACGGGGAAAGAAATCACAGCAGAAATTTACAAGCAAAATAATAAAGTAAATCACCGCCAAGGAAAAAATGTCATCGACAGATAAGGGGTTGGTCGGTGGTGGTAGGGAAAACTAGTGGCGTTTTGCTGCGCTCCCCAACGGCCCGTGACCAAGAATCCCCCCGTTACATACAGGCGAGCGACCGCGCGTGCGTGATCCAGCAATAAATAATTTTCACCGTTCCACTGTCAAATGCCTGCCTGGCTGCCTGTGGGTGTTCGCACATAAATGATATATATTTATCCCGGGCCGATTCGCCGCGCCGATAACAGAGCGTAATCAATAACGCGGGGCGACTTAATACTCGCGAGAGGAAAGTCCGCCTCGCGCGCTGGATAACGGGGCACCGCTTATTTTCGCTAACGCCGCGATCCCGGTAATTGGCAGCTCGATCCTGGACCTCCCGTTCTTCTAGATCCCTGGGACGATCTTTCTTTCGTGGTTTTTTTTTGTCGGTTTCCTTTACACTCCCCTCGATCGATGGCAAACTCTTCTGATCATTGAAAACATGGTCAATGGTCTACTGATATTTTATAAATAATCATGGCAATTGTTGAAAACGGTATGTGTACGGAATACTTTCGAGATATTGTTGAAGGTAGGGGAATTGTGTAATCTTGAAGCGTATGGGTTTCAAATACACACACGATCGCAAGAAAGAAACCGACGAAATATAAATCATCATCACGATTTATCGATTGGAATTCCAGATACGGCCGTGGCGCGTCCGCGTTGACGTCTTCGGTTTGCGTCACAGCGTTTCTCGCTCCAAATATTCGATCCACGCGGAAGGTGGACAACGCCGAATCTATCCGTTACATTGAAACGATTCTATTATGCTAATCGATGAAAAACAGTCTTGAGTAATCCCGACTACGCGAAGACATACGAGTGATTTAGAGGACGTTAATTAAAGAGACGATGTATGATTGTTGCATTTTTAATTCTCGGTCTCGCGATTTGTTTTCTTTTTTTTCAACAGTTCAGACGTCGTCTGTCAACATCGATTCTAATAATAGTTATATCCGACTTGTCGACCTTTTCTGGTCTCTGTCTTGCGACACACTGCAATTGTCTACGATCCGTTAACTTTGTAGGCTACACATTTCCTGCTCAGAAGTAGCCATTCACGTGACACGAAGATCGACCACGTCGTCGTAAGTGCGCAGGATTCGGTTCGCGCCAGGACTAAAAATCCTTCAGGGATTAATTGATTGGTTACTCGAAAAGAAAGCATTTTAATCGTGCCAGAGAACAAGGAAACCCCTTCGGTTTTCGTTCGAGAATTACCTCACCCAGCGAATCCAATCCGACAAAGGAAACGGCGGTGAGCAAATCGCGCACTTTATACCGGAAGTCGAACGCAAAGGAGAAGCGACAAACGATCCGGAATAATTCCACGGGTAAGGCGAAACTACCGGTAGAAAAATCTAGGAATTAATTCGACGGTTGTGTGAGTGCGTGGGTGGTAAAACGAGGCCCCTCCAAGTCTTCCATTCTCTTCCCTCTTTATTCTTGCCTGCTTTGTCCTCCTCGATCCTCCGTTCACTTGCGTTTTCCCAGTTGATCGACACACTCTCTCTCTCTTCTATGTAGTTCTGTTCGTTGTTTGCCTTTTCCCCGCCAATTCGTTTTCTTATTCTCCACTCTTTTCCTTCGATTGTTCCTTCTAGCGTAATCTTTGACAATTCTTCTCTCGATACACGCAATTCTCATTACCTGCTAGTTTCAACATACTTTCCTAATGTGATGCAACAGACATCGTCTACACTATAGCCAAGAAGTTTTTATAAATCGATTTTTCGCTCGAATCTAGAACCATCCCGTATTCAGGGTGCTCGTGCAAGGGGTAAACAAACTTCTTGCCAGCTACGTGATTCCTATTTCTGAACGATTGAACCGATCACGAACCGTGCTCCGTATCGCTAGGTTGGGTTCTGTTACGTAACGACGTAGCGGCCTTGCATTATAGCATCATAACCATTCATCCTGTCCGCTCACCTGCAATGCGCCACACTCTGTGTCCCGAGCGATATTCACGGTGCACAGTGTGACGACAAAATTCTGGGCATTTTTTGTCAATTCATCAAACACAAGTCCCAAAAATGATAGAGAAAGAACCACGACTTGAATTCAGAAAGTTATGCTATCTATGTATATAGATATACAGATAACGTAAGCTTTTTATTGTCCAAGTCGTGAAAGAAAGATGAAAAAGTCGATAACGACTTTGCACAACGTTGCAAAACTAAAAATACATTTTACGATGTTGTCCATGGTCAGGGGTATGCTTTATAAAGCGCTTTTTACTATTCCAGAAGGTTTCCAAGAGTGAAACATCTCCTTCAAAGCTTCAAGATGGGTAAACTCGTTCTTGTCCAGTGGCTCGTCGAGACAACTTGTTCTTGCCCCCGTATCTTCCTCTCTCGCAAACGTCTCATAACTTGACACGCTTTTCCGCAGATTGCTGGTTAGCTCGGGATTATTCTTCCGCGATAACGGAACCGAATGACTTCCAGGAAGATACGACCACATTGTCGTATCCTACTGTCGACAATTGGAAACGATTATAGGGCGTTTCGTTAAAAGGAAAAACCATAACAAATAATACTGTAGGATTGGGAACTACGTACCCAACGAAGGAGCAAATAACATCTTTGGAAAATAGGAGGGTTCCGTTCTGCTTTCGACGCCGGGGATCACGATTTCGAATCCCGCTTGGACCTTCTCATTTTTCCAACGCTCCTACAATACATATAGTGTACATATTGCTTCCGTGAATCGATCACTTTCGACTTCCGTCCCAATGACAACGGATCACGCTTCCGAATTTCGCTCGTGGAAACGTCGCATAATGAAGTCCTAACGAAGAGACCAGAAAGCCCCGCGACACGATCGTCCCGTTTGACAAGTTGCAGGAGTACATACTTCGTGCTGCGCGCGTGCACGAAAAGGCACGGGTTCATGCAGGAAACGCGCGGCAGGGTCAGG